TTGCCAGGCATGGGAAATTTATATTTTGTAATATTAGTAACCTATAACTAAAAGATATTGTCTAACTAAACTATAGACTAGACTATATACCATAGACTAGACCAGAGACTAGGCTACAGAATAGGCTATAGACTAAACTATATACTAAACTAAACTAGAGACTAGACTATAGACTAGACTAGACTATAGACTAGACTATAGACTAGACTATAGACTAGACTATAGACTAGACTATAGACTAGACTATAGACTAGACTATAGACTAGACTATAGACTAGACTATAGACTAGACTATAGACTAGACTATACTAGACTATAGACTAGACTATAGACTAGACTATAGACTAGACTATAGACTAGACTATAGACTAGACTATAGACTAGACTATAGACTAGACTATAGACTAGACTATAGACTAGACTATAGACTAGACTATAGACTAGACTATAGACTAGACTATAGACTAGACTATAGACTAGACTATAGACTAGACTATAGACTAGACTATAGACTAGACTATAGACTAGACTATAGACTAGACTATAGACTAGACTATAGACTAGACTATAGACTAGACTATAGACTAGACTATAGACTAGACTATAGACTAGACTATAGACTAGACTATAGACTAGACTATAGACTAGACTATAGACTAGACTATAGACTAGACTATAGACTAGACTATAGACTAGACTATAGACTAGACTATAGACTAGACTATAGACTAGACTATAGACTAGACTATAGACTAGACTATAGACTAGACTATAGACTAGACTATAGACTAGACTATAGACTAGACTATAGACTAGACTATAGACTAGACTATAGACTAGACTATAGACTAGACTATAGACTAGACTATAGACTAGACTATAGACTAGACTATAGACTAGACTATAGACTAGACTATAGACTAGACTATAGACTAGACTATAGACTAGACTATAGACTAGACTATAGACTAGACTATAGACTGGACTATAGACTAGACTATAGACTGGACTATAGACTAGACTGTAGACTAGACTATAGACTAGACTGTAGACTAGACTATAGACTAGACTATAGACTAGACTATAGACTAGACTATAGACTAGACTATAGACTAGACTATAGACTAGACTATAGACTAGACTATAGACTAGACTATAGACTAGACTATAGACTGGACTATAGACTAGACTATAGACTGGACTATAGACTAGACTATAGACTAGACTAGAGACTAGACTATAGACTAGACTATAGACTAGACTAGAGACTAGACTATAGACTAGACTATAGACTAGACTATAGACTAGACTATAGACTAGACTATAGATTAGACTATAGATTAGACTATAGACTAGACTATATACTAGACTATAGACTAGACTATAGACAGAAAATGTCGTGGGGGTACCGCGGTACTAAAAGTACTCAATTTTCCATGCCTGCAATATACTCTCCTGTTTACCAACAACAAGCACCAGGAGTAATAGAACAAGAACAAGAAAGTTGAGTATTTTACAAAAAACTTGACACATTCTTGCAAAAAGAAAAAAATAGAAAAACACGAAGAATATTGAGTTTTCATAAAGAAAATATGTTTTTTTTAATTCTTTCATATAAAATTTATAATTTTAAATTATAAGTCTGATAAGAAAAACAGAAAAGCTAGCAAATCTTGTTACACAGAACATAAAAAATAAGTTAAAGGAGAAAACGAAAACATAAAGAATTAAGGAGTTGACGTTTGAAAATAGACATATGAGTACACACACACATTAATAACATAAGGATGTATACTTTTGAGTACGTGTGTATGTACGTGCATGTCTATCATTTATGCACGCGATATTTATTATTAAGGGTAACAAACAGAATTAAAAAGGAATTAGTTCTTTAAAGAAAAACGAAAATTTTCCAAGGAAACACTTTCCAAAGAATCATTCTCTAAAGAAGAACTTTCTATAGAAAAAAAGTCTTTTTAACAAAGACTTTTTCTATAGAAAAAGAGTCTTTTTAACAAAGAATTTTTCTATAAAAAAAGAGTCTTTTTAACAAAGACTTTTTCTATAGAAAAAGAGTCATTTTAACAAAGACTTTTTCTATAGAAAAAGAGTCTTTTTATCAAAGACTTTTTCTATAGAAAAAGAGTCTTTTTATCAAAGACTTTTTCTATAGAAAAAGAGTCTTTTTATCAAAGACTTTTTCTATAGAAAAAGAGTCTTTTTATCAAAGACTTTTTCTATAGAAAAAGAGTCTTTTTATCAAAGACTTTTTCTATAGAAAAAGAGTCTTTTTATCAAAGACTTTTTCTATAGAAAAAGAGTCTTTTTATCAAAGACTTTTTCTATAGAAAAAGAGTCTTTTTATCAAAGACTTTTTCTATAGAAAAAGAGTCTATTTAACAAAGACTTTTTCTATAGAAAAAGAGTCTTTGTAACAAAGACTTTTTCTATAGAAAAAGAGTCTTTTTGACAAAGACTTTTTCTATAGAAAAAGAGTCTTTTTGACAAAGACTTTTTCTATAGAAAAAGAGTCTTTTTAACAAAGACTTTTTCTATAGAAAAAGAGTCTTTTTAACAAAGACTTTTTCTATAGAAAAAGAGTCTTTTTAACAAAGACTTTTTCTATAGAAAAAGAGTCTTTTTAACAAAGACTTTTTCTATAGAAAAAGAGTCTTTTTAACAAAGACTTTTTCTATAGAAAAAGAGTCTTTTTAACAAAGACTTTTTCTATAGAAAAAGAGTCTTTTTAACAAAGACTTTTTCTATAGAAAAAGAGTCTTTTTAACAAAGACTTTTTCTATAGAAAAAGAGTCTTTTTAACAAAGACTTTTTCTATAGAAAAAGAGTCTTTTTAACAAAGACTTTTTCTATAGAAAAAGAGTCTTTTTAACAAAAACTTTTTCTATAGAAAAAGAGTCTTTTTGACAAAGACTTTTTCTATAGAAAAAGAGTCTTTTTATCAAAGACTTTTTCTATAGAAAAAGAGTCTTTTTATCAAAGACTTTTTCTATAGAAAAAGAGTCTTTTTATCAAAGACTTTTTCTATAGAAAAAGAGTCTTTTTATCAAAGACTTTTTCTATAGAAAAAGAGTCTTTTTATCAAAGACTTTTTCTATAGAAAAAGAGTCTTTTTATCAAAGACTTTTTCTATAGAAAAAGAGTCTTTTTATCAAAGACTTTTTCTATAGAAAAAGAGTCTTTGTAACAAAGACTTTTTCTATAGAAAAAGAGTCTTTTTGACAAAGACTTTTTCTATAGAAAAAGAGTCTTTTTGACAAAGACTTTTTCTATAGAAAAAGAGTCTTTTTGACAAAGACTTTTTCTATAGAAAAAGAGTCTTTTAACAAAGACTTTTTCTATAGAAAAAGAGTCTTTTTAACAAAGACTTATTCTATAGAAAAAGAGTCTTTTTAACAAAGACTTTTTCTATAGAAAAAGAGTCTTTTTAACAAAGACTTTTTCTATAGAAAAAGAGTCTTTTTAACAAAGACTTTTTCTATAGAAAAAGAGTATTTTTAACAAAGACTTTTTCTATAGAAAAAGAGTCTTTTTAACAAAGACTTTTTCTATAGAAAAAGAGTCTTTTTAACAAAGACTTTTTCTATAGAAAAAGAGTCTTTTTAACAAAGACTTTTTCTATAGAAAAAGAGTCTTTTTAACAAAAACTTTTTCTATAGAAAAAGAGTCTTTTTGACAAAGACTTTTTCTATAGAAAAAGAGTCTTTTTATCAAAGACTTTTTCTATAGAAAAAGAGTCTTTTTAACAAAGACTTTTTCTATAGAAAAAGAGTTTTTTTAACAAAGACTTTTTCTATAGAAAAAGAGTCTTTTTAACAAAGACTTTTTCTATAGAAAAATAGTCTTTTTAACAAAGACTTTTTCTATAAAAAAAGAGTCTTTTTAACAAAGACTTTTTCGATAGAAAAAGAGTCTTTTTAACAAAGACTTTTTCTATAGAAAAAGTGTCTTTTTAACAAAGACTTTTTCGATAGAAAAAGAGTCTTTTTAGCAAAGACTTTTTCTATAGAAAAAGAGTTTTTTTAACAAAGACTTTTTCTATAGAAAAAGAGTCTTTTTAACAAAGACTTTTTCTATAGAAAAAGAGTCTTTTTAACCAAGACTTTTTCTATAGAAAAAGAATCATTTTAACAAAGACTTTTTCTATAGAAAAAGAATCATTTTAACAAAGACTTATTCTATAAAAAAAACTTTTTCTATAGAAAAAGAGTCTTTTTAACAAAGACTTTTTCTATAGAAAAAGAGTCTTTTTAACAAAGACTTTTTCTATAGAAAGAGTCTTTCTGACAAAGACTTTTTCTACAGAAAAAGAGTCTTTTTAACAAAGACTTTTTCTATAGAAAAATAGTCTTTTTAACAAAGACTTTTTCTATAGAAAAATAGTCTTTTTAACAAAGACTTTTTCTATAGAAAAATAGTCTTTTTAACAAAGACTTTTTCTATAGAAAAATAGTCTTTTTAACAAAGACTTTTTCTATAGAAAAAGAATCTTTTTAACAAAGACTTTTTCTATAGAAAAAGAGTCTTTTTAACAAAGACTTTTTCTATAGAAAAAGAGTCTTTTTAACAAAGACTTTTTCTATAGAAATGGAGCCCTTTTAACAATGAATTTGAAAGGTGTTTATCTATAGAAAAAGTGTCTTGTTTAGAAACATTCTATAGAACAAAGAGTGTTTATTCCTTCTTTATTTTAAAGATTTCATTCTTTTCCTTTTCAGCTAACAATACACACAAAAAAAATAGAAAAAGAAACTTTTACTACATTTTCATTTGGTTGTTGTTCTTGTCGCTGTTGTTGTTGTTGTTCTTATGGTGGCATGAATATTTTAACTATTTAACTTAAGCTAATCGATAAGAAACAAAAGGTTAAAAAACACCTTAAGAATTCAATGCAATAAATAAATTATTTTTGGTGGTTTTGTCCCTTTAAAAGAAAATTTATAAAAAAATTGTGGAAAAACACATTACAACTAAAAACTTACTTGTTTACAGGATTAAAGCTTTCAAGTTATTTTAGCTTTTTACATAATTCTTCGATACAACATTGAAAAGGATGCTTCGCTAAGTGACATGGTGTTTTTTTTATTACTTTTTAAAAGCAATTTATTTACTTTTTATGATTTTTTTTTTCTTAATTTTTAATAATTTGTACACTAGAACTTTGATTTGTGAAAATTTTACGGAGTAATTTGAAAAACTCATAAAAATTGTCTGAAAATTTGTGTGTGTTTTTTTCAACTACTACTTTTTTTTACTTTTTTCCAAATCAAATCAAAAAACTTAAAAAAACGTTGTATCCTGTATTCACGTAACTTTGCAACTGATTTACATTTTTTTTCGACATTTTCTTAACAAACGGCTGTGGCTGGCTGACTCTCCTCCCTAGTAAATGAATACCGAATTAAGCAATTACAGCAAAAACAAAAAACAACAGTTGCGCATTATCCTGTGCACAAACTGGCGAAAACTACTGCTTTCCTCTCTCGCTCTCTCTGTTAAATGTATACAGAGTAAGGAAGCAAGAAATGTATTTTATTGTAAATTTTTAGCTCACAAAGAACAAAACAAATCCTTTTTTTTACAACAAAGCAAACAAACATTAGACTGTCTATGATAGACAGGGAAGTTTTGTACCCATCAGCTGTGTGCCTTGGTTTTTTTTTTTTTGCTCGTTTTGGTGCGCTTTTATTGAAAACTCAATGTGAATTTTTCTTTTTGGCTTTTTGCTTTTGTTGTTTGAGACCTTTTTTGTTGTTGTTGGAGATTTCAAGAGACTACTTGGCGTCCGTATTTGATATGGACAAGTTTTCTGTTGAAAGCGGCTTTTAGTTTTGTGTTTTTTTTTTTCCCTAAGTAATTGTTCGATTCGTTGTTCAATTTACGTTGTTCAATTTACATACTTTTAAGTTCCTTCTTAAGATAAAAGAAACTATTAGTAGTTGTGTTTTTGTTTAGTTTTTTTTTTTTTTTGCTAATTTTATGCTTTAAGGGTGGTTTTTCCTGTCCAGCTTAGAATTTGCTAAACAGCTGTCGTTTATTTTGTGTGTTCAGCTATGCAAAAGGTATTTGTAATTGCTAAAACAGCTGTGTATGTAACGGTTTTGTTTTATGTCTACAATTTAAAGCATACTTTGAGGCTTGTTAAAAGAAAATAAATTAACAGTCAGGCTGCCACTGTGTAAAAAGCAGCCAGATGTCAAGTGTTGCTATTATATCAGTTTTCTGTTTGTAAAAAAAAAAAAAAACAAATAAAAGATTTTAACACAAATTTTGTTTTAATAAAAAAATAATACATTTTTACAGGAATTAAAGCAAAATTTAAAATTTCATTAAAAAATTATAACAATATTTGTTACAATTTTGGATGGTAGTTAAATAAAATTAAAACTAAAGTATATCTTCAGGATGTGACAACCAAAATAAAGCCACACAAAGTTGCCACTATGTAATGTAATGCCAGATGTATAAAAATTTGGCTATTTTACAGGGTTTTAACAAATAATTACAGAAATAGTTGTTTTTGTTATAGAATTCTTGTTAATTAATTAAATATATGTATATTAAATATATATATTAAATTAAATATAAACTATAGTCCAGACTATAGTCCAGACTATAGACTGGACTATAGTCTAGACTATAGACTAGACTATAGGCCAGACTATATTTCAAACTACAGACTAGACTATATACCAGACTATAGTCCAGACTCTAGACTATAGTCCAGACTATAGAATAGACTATAGTCTACACTATAGACTAGAATGTAGTCCAGCCTATAGACCAGACCATAGACTAGACTTTAGACCAGACCATAGACTAGACTATAGTCCAGACTATAGAATAGACTATAGTCTAGACTGTAGTCCAGACTATAGACTAGAATGTAGTCCAGCCTATAGACCAGACCATAGACTAGACTATAGACCAGACCATAGACTAGACTATAGTCCAGACTATAGACTAGACTATAGTCCAGACTATAGACTAGACTATAGTCCAGACTATAGAATAGACTATAGTCTAGACTATAGTCCAGACTATAGACTAGACTATAGTCCAGACTATAGACTATACTATAGTCCAGACTATAGACTATACTATAGTCCAGACTATAGACTATACTATAGTCCAGACTATAGACTATACTATAGTCCAGACTATAGACTATACTATAGTCCAGACTATAGACTATACTATAGTCCAGACTATAGACTATACTATAGTCCAGACTATAGCCTAGACTATAACCCAGACAATAGACTATACTATAGTCCACACTATAGACTAGACTATAGTCCAGACTATAGACTTGACTATAGTCCACACTATAGACTTGACTATAGTCCAGACTACAGACTGTACTATAATCCAGACTATAGACTAAACTATAGTCCAGACTATAGACTAACCTATAGTCGAGACTATAGACTAACCTATAGTCGAGACTGTAGACTAGACTATATTCCGGACTATAGACTAGACTACAGTACAGTCTATCTACAGACTGTTTTTCCCAATTTGTGGGCGAATTACTTTTAAAGAAAAGAAAAAAAGTTTAAGTTTTATTTAATAATTTATTTAAACAAAAAAATTTGCAAATCCCTCATAAAAAATCATAAAAATTAAACTAAACTGACTTTTAAATATAATGACTTCTTCGTTTTTTTGATCTTTATTCAAAAGCACAAACTAAATTATAGTTTTTAGTTCTTTTTTACAGCTAGAAGCACAAACGTTTTTTTTATATTATGTTTCGTTATAAAGAGTAAAATAAATTTTATTTTTATTAAACAAAAGTTTCTTAATTGTTACATGAACATTATTAAAAAGAAAAACTAAAAAGTAGAAAAATTAAAAAAGTTTTTTTTTTAAATAAATTTTACGCTGAAGAAGAAAATGTTTCATAAACATTGGCACCCAAGACTTTGCATTTCTCCGACACCACATAGAAGGTTATAAGTAAGGTGGCTAGATTTTGAGGACGTGTAGAGCTGTCGAAACCCTTTGAAGTCAAACCACTGACTATGGGTATAATTTTGGCTAATGCTATTTGTACACTATTTATATTAAGCAAAGGATCAGAAGAGCTGTTCGCAACATTACTAGTAGACTGATTGTGTTGCTCATTTGTGGAATTATGTTTTTGAGCCACCACAATGCTCTCACTTATACTCTCTGCTATGGCATCCAACGCCAAAGAGAAGCCTCGATATATGTTATTGGAACAAACACTGCTGGCATCATCACTTTCTAGCAAATCCAAAGTCTCATTGAATAGCTTCTCCAGTAAAGGACCTCCAGTGTTAAAGTCTGAGAGTTGTGAGGGCAATAAATATCTGCTCATTTTGGAGCACGGATCGCTGTTGGGTTCACTATTAATGGCAAATTGTAAAGAACAAAAACGCTGTTCAATATCTGCCAAGCTTAAGCGTTTAGTTAAAGGTAATTCTTTCATCACGGAGATTACCTTTGCTCGTATCAAACGCACCAATTCCGATAAACCACCATCTTGTATAAAATGTCTGATTAATGAGAGATATTGTTGTTTTAAATCATCATTAATTTTTGCTTGTTTTTGTTTGCTAAGAGCCTGTTCGTTACCCATTAGAGGCGAGGCCGTATCGCAATATAAATAACCACCTAAAACATTTAATTGTACCCGTAATGCCACCACCAGCATTGAGGAGGCATAAATGAAAGTAGTTAAACGTGTGAAAGAAACAATTTTCATTTCCTCCCACAGCTCCAGTTTGTTGGGGGGATTTTCCCTTAATTGTTCCAGCAATTCATCTGTGCTGCATTCCTTTAAAATGGCCTGCATTAGTTCCGCACCCATGCCTATAATAACCTGATTACAGGTCTTTTCTGTGGACTCAAAGTGCTGCATACGTCTCGACTTCTCCATAAATTCTCTAGCCTGGCGTTCTTGCATATCCAAGAGTTTCTTTTGGGCATATTTTAAAGCCAAGTAAGTGCCTCCCACTACAACACCGGTTACCACGAATTTCCTGCGATGACGCGTTAGAAAATCACGTAAACGAGACAACATTTTGTTGGTATGACGTTTTTAAACCAACTGCTGCGTTCAGTTTCCTCTTCAGTTCAGTACTTGGTAATTTGTTTAAAAAAAAAAAAAAAAACTATTTAATTTTTTACACTTCTCCTTTTAAGTTTAAAGAGGGGAGGTTTGGTTTGCTTTGTTTTTGTTTGTGGGATCCTTGACAAGTGTTTGTACTAGTTTTATTTCGTCGTTTATTAATATTTTTATAGGTATGATTATTATTGTTTTTCTTTTTTTTTAATGTCAGCTGTATTGTTGTTTAGTTTAGGGATGTTTAGCCTTTGGAATGTTACGTTGTAATGAGAAAATACTACTGCAAAGAAATAATAGAAAATTTCCAATTAATTGTAAATGTTATTTTAAAATGTATTTAAAAAATGTAAAAAAAAAGAAATCAATATTAAATGTATACAATTATTAAGAATAACCCCATGAAGCAGAAATGGGAAGAATTTAACAGGTAGACGTATTTCACAGTCATGAAATATGTGTCCTAATACTTATAGAAACGAGTAGAATTCTATACATATTTCCTTTTCATATTCTTATCTATCTATTTATCTATCTATCTATCTATCTATCTATCTATCTATCTATCTATCTATCTATCTATCTATGTATCTATCTATCTATCTATCTATCTATCTATCTATCTATCTATCTATCTATCTATCTATCTACCTATCTATCTATCTATCTATCTATCTATCTATCTATCTATCTATCTATCTATCTATCTATCTATCTATCTATCTATCTATCTATCTATCTATCTATCTATCTATCTATCTATCTATCTATCTATCTATCTATCTATCTATCTATCTATCTTATCTATCTATCTATCTATCTATCTATCTATCTATCTATCTATCTATCTATCTATCTATCTATCTATCTATCTATCTATCTATCTATCTATCTATCTATCTATCTATCTATCTATCTATCTATCTATCTATCTATCTATCTATCTATCTATCTATCTATCTATCTATCTATATACCTATCTATCTATCTATCTATCTATCTATCTATCTATCTATCTATCTATCTATCTATCTATCTATCTATCTATCTATCTATCTATCTATCTATCTATCTATCTATCTATCTATGTAGGTATTGTATGTATGTATGTATGTATGTATGTATGTATGTATGTATGTATGTATGTATGTATGTATGTATGTATGTATGTATGTATGTATGTATCTATCTATCTATCTATCTATCTATCTATCTATCTATCTATCTATCTATCTA